GGTGGTGTAGGGGCAAGTTGGCAGTCTTACCACGCGCGCTATCCGGGTGTCAAACCCCGAATCAGTCAAGCCTTTCCAAGTCTCTCGGGCGGTAAATTGGTACTAGATTCGTCTAGGAGGACTGACTTGTACATCGCCTGGCCCATGCCAGTGATAGTGTGGGTCACATCGTATTCAAAAAGCCACTACGATTATGAATGGAAGTGAAATGCGTGCCGCAACCCAAAAAATGGACTGATCAACGGCATTTTTTATCCTTTTAGCTATCACTGATGATCACTTCCGTTTTGGGATACGCACGCACGCCTTTTTTCAGATAGGTAGCTTATACATGTAATGTGGTCTATATCATAAGCATGCCAGAATTCACGGACATACATGTGTGTACACAAGTATGTACGTGCACACATGTATGTCCGTGCATTCTGGTGAGCGTGCGCTTTGCATATGTGCACTAAGGTGAGTTAAAAACACTTGATATCTTTCACAGCTTTTAATGAGTTCGATTATCGACGTATCGAAATATAATTATCAAAGACTATAAAAAAATCACAGTTTTCACTAAATTCAATACTTATAAAAATTAGATTATAGCTTTAAAATAAGTGATTCCTCCTTTCCCTTTTTGATGAACACAGAAGGAAGATATAACATATGTTTAGTTCCCTCTAAAGGCATTTGCTAAACGGAGACCAAGCGATTTTTTCGAATCACCCCCCCCCCTCCTAAAATTAATTTAAAGAAAGCTTCGAAAAAGGATAAAAAATAGAGATTCTGTTTACAAGACGCTTGTTTTCTGCATTTATATAGACCATCAAGAAAGTAGGCAGCGGTCTGCATCTTTGCTCGTTATTTTCGTATCTAATATGACTTAAATCTGAAGGTTTTATCATATTTGCGTTTTGCAGGCTATGCGATTGGGGTACTAGCAGATTTATTATATAGTTTTTATGGTGTGGATACTGAGCAAATGCTGCTGTTACTTGAATGCTTCACATCTCTTTTGAAGTCACATCTTTTACATCTTCTTTCAGTCCAATATGAATTCGTAGTATAAGATATCGACTACTAATCATATTTGCTAATGTTAGACATGTATGACGTCTCTTTTCACATCAACGACGAGAAGATCGCGTCATACGGCACACGCTCTTTCCACGCCATTTTTCGGTTTTTTTTCCTCTTCAAACGGAAGTTGACAGCACTCACTGCTGGGTGATGCGGATTCTTGCCCAGACATAGGAGGAACCAGCTCCTGTGTCAATAAACAACTTCCTATTTGCAAAAAAGGTTTGTTGTACTTGAGGGAGGCAGAATTCCCGGAGCTTTTCCACGTCGACGAGGTTTCGTGGGACGACATGCGATGCAAAGCATGACTTTACTCGTAATATTGGCATATTGACACTGGCCTACTTTCCTGTACTGAGGACTACGCGGATTGAAAAATTGCAGTGGTTTGCCTGGGGTCAGGGATGGAACAAATTGTTAATGTCTTTTAGTGTTTTTTTTTCTACCTAAGCATTTCTTTATCTGCGCGAACCACGGAGTTATCTACCTGCTGTGCGAGGCTCCCTCGGCGACTTGCTCGTCTGCGCTCCAGGCCTAAGCTTTGGTTAGAAGTAGAGGGGGCCGATCGAAACAATCGTAATTTGCCGCTGCGTCGCGCGGCGCTCTTAATTTGCCTTAGACTGGAGCACCGGATTTTATGTACACTCCATGACCTGGAGACGGAGTGGGCGTGGCCGTGTACTCCAGTCAGATCAGGAAGTGGTTGCGCTTCTGCTAGGACACTTCGCCCTGGGACCATCGAAACCGTGTCTGTACTCAGCATAAGACAGAGTGGCTGTTATTCCGAATGTCACGATAATCGCATCTTACACCATGTTCAAATGAAGCACACAGCTACGCTCTCACCATTTTCGGATATGGATTATAGACTGCGTCATCGTAGATATACAGTTGTTTTTGCTTAGTCACTGTCTACTGTCGCCATTAACGACTCAAAATAATTCTCATTTGCGGTGCGACGTCGCACGCGACGCCCGTCAGCGCGGAAATTTACGATAGTCTTGTCACATACCGGAGGTAGAGTGGTCCCTCTCAACTGCTTAGCGCAGTACACGGATACATGGTGGGAGAGCATCCAGCCTTTGGGCGGAGGTGATGTAAAGGCAAGCGGTATGCCTACCGTCGGTCCTGTGTCGGCTCCTGCCCCGCCCAACGTAATCTTCTACCCTCTGGGGACGGCGAATTGGTTACAGATATCCGTCTGGGAGGATAGGAGTACTTACTTGTACATCGCTGGCCCCCGTAAGTCATTGTATAGGCTAAATCTTGTATATATCCCTACGATTCTGATTGGAGGTAGAATGGGTGCCGCATCCTAAAAAGGGATTTGTCGTGAGGAGACCTTTGACCTTTTTCCTTTTTCCCCTCGAAGAAATAATCTTGCCCGTTCAAGAATATGACCTGCCAGTCGACAGAACATAGCCAATGCTCGAAATAACGTGCCGCTCTTGAAGGCGTACATTTGCATGTGATTTGAAAGAAAGTCATGTTATGGTCGGCGTATGTCATTGTTTATGAGATGCGATCAGAGCATGTGAATATTATGACAATTTAACGTTTCTGTTGGAAAACACAATCTTGTTATTCCACGTGATGTTTAATTGCAAAAGCGACTAAATCTAGGACTGTTGGCATGCCGGAGCCAATGCCGTCGTTTTTTGTGCCACTAATTCCTCCAGAACATCTGGTTTCGAACCAGAAATAGCTTCATGTCGTGGAATAGATGACCACTCCCAGCGTGCAAAAGCATACAAGTTTTCATGGATTTATTCAAGTCTGAGCAATTCAGACTTGCATATATGAAACATTAGTACAGCCACTTCCAAGATATCTATGAATTTCTTGAGTAAAAGAATAAGATCTTCGCTGTTGAACAATTCATTTTTGGAATGCGGCACACATTTTACTTCCATTCAGTGTCGTAGGGGCTTATTGAACGCGAAGTAACTTCAACAATGACTTGCGAGACCAGCCGATGTCAATGTTCTTATCCAACTATATTCCCCTTCCTCCTTTTCCTTCCCTCCGTATCTTTTCCTTTTCATTTTCCCTTCAATTGCTAGGCCAGTTGGTACGATGAGAAGATGCCTATAAATCCACACAGCAAGAGCGTGTTCGGTTTACGGAAGCCCTTGAATCCCAGACGAATCGGGTGCCAGTTTACCGGCACGAAGGGTAAAAGACTTGGGAAAAGCGGGTTTTAACCCCCGACCGCGCTCGTGGTAAGCGTTCCTCTTGCCATTACACCGCTTCCGCCACAATCCCTTCTATTTAAGATTCTTTTGATTTTTCTTGCGTGTTGAGAATCGCATATTGCTTGCAATTCCAAAACAAAGTTGACGACCCCCGCTCCATTATTTTGAAAGCAGACTGTGTTTCACAACTGTAGACTTCGGAAATCGTATGGGTGAACAGTACACATCAAGTGTTTTCTCACTGATATAAGGCTCGTTCTAGTTTATCTCCAGGTTTTCTCTTTCAAAGTCCCTAGGGCTCTGAGCTGACAAGGGAAGGATGGTAGGTCGAAGTGGCCATTTGAAATGAAATGTATACCGGCTGAAAGGTCTTCGGACGGGAATTACGAAACCGTCTTCCATATCTGCTGCGGACCTCCCAGAAAGAAGTTACGGAGCTTTTTTGGGAGGATCACTACAAATTGGCGGCGTAAGGCTGACGAGATCGTGGCAGCATGGCCGAGTGGATACGTCGTAGGGCTCACGGATGCGTGGTCGAGGGTTTGGATCCTTGATGCGTGTGCTCTTTTGCATTTTTTCGAAAGTGGTCCCTGTGCACTTCAAAGCTATTTTGCATAATACTTGTCCCTGATAATGTCGTTATGTAATGATTCTGAACTGATGGAGCCATTGCGAACCATTCCATAGAGATCACTTCTGGCTGTTGTCTTCTTCTTTCTTTGATTTGAAAAGCATACACAACAAAAGTGCATTCCAAAAGAAGATTTTGCCTTCAAATGACTTTATTCTCCAAACGACATGACTGGAAAACGAATCCATACGAAGTTGTGCACGAAGATGAGTATAGTGGGAAAATGCTTCCATATGAAGTGGCGTTGATGTGACAAACATGCTGCTGAAGATCGCGATGGGCAAGAGCTTCATTTACCACTCACATAATGTTGAATTATGTCTATCTCAAAGTGTTTTCGTATCTGCTGGAAGTTTTCGGCTCGTATGACAATCTCTTCAGCCGGAGGTGATCTCCATGAAATCGTTCGCAATGGCTCCATCAGTTCAGAAACACTACGTCACGACATTATCAGGCACCAGAGTTATACAAAATAGCTTTGAAGTGCACAGGGCCACTTTCGAAAAAATGCAAAAGAGCACACGCATCAAGGATCCAAACCCTCGACCACGCATCCGTGAGCTCTACGACGTATCCACTCGGCCATGCTGCCACGATTCGTCAGCCTTACGCCGCCAATTTGTAGTGTATTCTCCCCCTAAAAACCTCCGTAACTTCTTTCTGGGAGGTCCGCAGCAGATATGGAAGACGGTTTCGTAATTCCCGTCCGAAGACCTTTCAGCCGGTATACATTTCATTTCAAATGGCCACTTCGACCTACCATCCTTCCCTTGTGAAGCAAAGAGAATAAAAACAAAAAAAAACTCCCGGTTTGTTTCGAATACGCTCAGAATTTTCTCCGGCGACCTGGGCCTGCCTACTGTTGCAGTGTAACAACCCTTCTGGTGCTCTCTTTCTTCTAGGAAGAGCTGAGTTTTCCATTTGAAAGTGATTATAACACTTACTTTTATTGAACCGATTGAATTCAGCTGGCAAATTTTTGTGGTTTTGCAAACAGCTTAGATTGAGAGTGATTGGTTTTTTCTCTTCATTATCTATACTGTCATCCATTTCAGTTCCTCTTCTGGGCGCACAAATCAGCCTAGAATTCTTCCAACGTCGTCCGCGCCCATGGCCGTTGCCGGTCGAATCTGTCGCGTGGGAGCGTTGGATTCTGTTCCTTGACATCTTCAAGGCAAACTCATACGGTACGTTTTTGCTGTACTCTTATGTTGTGTACTAAACTCTCCCGTGATTTTCAAGTTCCGCTTAGTCCATTCCCCTGAAAAAGAAATTGTGCCCCTACAATTCAAGTTCGGAAAACTGCCTTAGGTCACACTTCATGTCACGCTGATATACCTTCCGTCCCAAACAGCTCCCACGATGAATACGAGAATTCACGATTGTTGGTTTTATAACTGCGTTTTTTTAAGCTTTAATTACATCCCCGGGAAAAGAACTTGTGTGACACAGTGAACCTTAGCTTTGGGTATTTAGTTTTTTTCTTTTGAGTTTCGAAAAAACGTGCACATTTCGCAGACGGATGCCCAGATGACGAATCATATCATATTTTCTTGGTTTGTCAATCAGCTGGATCCTGAATTGTTGCGTAAAGTCTTTCCTGCGAAAGAGTGACATAACTTTACAGAGAATGCTTTGGTCCCGACGAAGGAAGAGCCTAGGGTTCACTCGAAACTATAAGTTTTGCTTCAACTTAGTTTTTGCTAGATCAAAATATCAAGATCGAACTTTCGTGAAACTCAACCTTGAAGTTTCTACGTCACGTTCAGTAGAGTTTCTCCCACAACCGAATTCATTTCGTTTTTCTAAATTGTGTCAGTCAATGCGTTTTTGCCTAAATGTCGATGGTAATGTATTATTTCCGGTATTGGTCTCCACTCCCATTTCTTTCCTTACTCATTCCTTTACCTGAAATCTTGCGTATTGAAAAATAAGGGTCAGGTTCGCAGAATATCACGTTTAAGGAAAAGGTGCATAGTGTAAAGTAATCTATACTCTCCACTGGTGCTCTGTAATGATTTTTCATTTTTATTCTTTATCCATTTTTTAAGAAGAAATATACTGCATAAAAGCGTTCTTGTCAAGTTGGAGCATATTTGTGCCATTTCAGATGATCTTGCTCGTATGCGAGTTTCCGTTGCTGAGAGTGTTGGCGAGATCGTGCTGCAGCTTTGCAGTTCGATAAATAGACCTCAGTACTTGCCAAAGATGCCTACAAGGACTGAACTGTCAAACGTATTCGATTCAAATCTGTCGGACTGCCAGCCCTACTTGTTCAAAGTGTGTCGTGTACCTATTCGGCCAGGTTCGTATCGAATTTTCTTGGTTCATTACTTATGGCATAGAATCCCTATGTTCATATCGTTACTAGTACAGGAGGTGGAAGTATCGTTTACCTTCTACAAAATACGGTATCTGAAGTAATGCCAAAGGTTGTAAAAAGATCGCTTTTTAATATGTGTTATGATTGCCAACCGGCTCAGTCTGATATAAGTCCTCATTCCAATACGTTGAGTGTTAGGGCATGCTTCGATGTCGCATTACGTCTCGTGGTTTGTTGACGGCAAATAGATCGTTTCTATGCACTTTTTTTGCAATTCCTACGATTTTTATGCAGGCATTCATTGCCTAGCGGATGAGTTTTTAGCATAAGCTGAGGGGAGAAAGCTCTATGGGTGAAAACTCTTTTTGCGGAAAGGGCCTTTTTTCGAGAAAAATATGTTATTTGTTATGCATTCGAAGCCATTCTAAAGCCTGTTCATGTCTGACTCACAGGAAGGTTTATCTGCACAAAGGCACGTCCTACCGTTGAGGGTGATTTTTTTGCAGAATACAATCCCCTCAAAATGGGAATAATCAACAACAGAAAACATACTTCTCAGTGGCAAATGCGATTCCTTCTCCTCCCTTCAGCAACCAGATACGACCATCCTTGCCGGGGATCCACCAACATACAGCGTGTCCTAACACAATGGCCAAGTGCACGAGAGGTAGAGTTAGTTAGTTTGAAAGATGGTACCCAAGGCGAAGGAAGGGATTCGTTGGATCGTCTTAACCCGAGACCACCTCCCAGATGATTCTGGAAAGGTCCATTTTAACAATTGCGTACCGCCGTACTACGCGCGTCTCCTGATCATTTTATGATATTTAAGCAGTAACTCATCAAAAATTTTCCACCTCTTTTCAGTCGCTTATGAGGTAAGCATCTTCCGTCACCGAGAACATGTTTTGACAACATTAGAACATGAAAGAAAAGCCAAATCATTCTGATAAAACACCGCCTAGAGACGAAATCATGACACACCATGTGTGTCACGCGGTCCGGAACGTGTTAAAGGCGAAGCCTGCGATCATTCGCCGTCACCGATAGTGGATCAAGAGTTTGCATATAGATGGAAAAGCTCTGAGTAACTAGAAATGATATAGAAAAAACCAGGAAAATACATGCCAACTACCCTAGATAGAACTCCATTACGATCCCACTTTATACGTGTTCAATTAAGTCGGCCTCCAGCGAATCCTCATCCGCACAGCTCACTCCCCGATAAGAACTCTCCGACCCTACAAGTGACGATTTTCATGCTTTTTCGTCCTGCAGCTTCGCTTTTACTGAAAGGCAAGCCTTGTAGGCGGAGTCTGGAGGCGGAGTTACTGGAAACAAAGAGGGGTCACTGCACCCCTCACAATTTTTGCCGCGGATCCGGTAGAAGGTGGTTTCTTGCGGTCCACACTACCATCCCGACGCTATATTTTCAATTTCTATATCTGATCGCGGACTGGGCGGACGCTGGAGATATATAAAGGGCCACAGAGGGGGTTATAGGCGTTTACCGGCACTTCGAGGTCCGGATATTCAGGCGACGTAGACAAGGAAATGTTCATTGTATTGATCCATCCCCGCCAGAGCCTTAAGCCTTAATAGGCCCACACTGAGAACAGTTTGAGCATTTGTACAATTTCAACAACATCTAAACAATTTCAAACCCTTATATTAAAAAATAGAGTTCACCCACACGGAGCGCCTTCTCCCCTCCTTCCCCCTCCCACGCCAATGACGTGTGGTGTCATGGGACGTAATGTGACGTCATGGTATCTCATAACACATAACATTAACGCTATCGTATTCTACAGTGGGCCTTATCAGAACACTACCGCAAAACTATTTAGAAGACGTTGCGTCTCTAGTCTACAAATCTGCAATTTTTACAATTGTACTGTTCTTCTTTCAGAAACCACTTCACAATCTGGTTTAACTGGTATGCGGAGATACATTCGTGATCTTATGATCAACTAGCTTCTTGTCATTTTCCATTTGGCTGAACAGCAAGGTTCATTGTTTCTTTTATCAAGGAGAGGGTTTATTCCACGTCATTAACGTAATAATACGGTTGCCGCTCATCTGCGTCAAGTTCCTGCTCCCGGTTTTAGGATCTTGTCTTTCCGCTTCATGCGGGTAAATTCACTCGGAACGTTTTGTTCGATCTAGTTAATTCTTTGTATTTACCTAGTTATACTTGAGAGCTAGTCTGTGTGTTGTGCCGCTCTCTTTTCAGTCAAGTTTTCACATTTTGTACTTTGGAGATGCATCATGCTATACTTGAAATTTTCTTCGTCCTTTTTAGGTTTATATTCTCGGGAGCTATTTTTTTTTGTTTTCTACCTGATTCGTTGAAATCATTATGATTGCTTCTTGTGTAATGCACTCTGTTTCCTCGTTTTGTATACCATTTGCTTTCGACATGCCTACGTTTTAGAAATTTTGGAATTTTCGATGTAAATACGTTGTGTATATAATGTACTTGTACGTTTTTTCACGTTTTGCACTAAATGTTTCATGACTAACGAGTTTGTTGTACGGATTTCGGGAAACCGTGTCATCGGTTGAAGCTAATTTCAAGTTTTCATTCCCACTTCGCAACTCAAACGGGTGGTTGTGCTTCTTCTAAGTCTTCAACGTTTTTCCCACCCGGACAGGGTCCTTTTCAGCTGGTATGATGGCGTTTTTCCTCTCAATTGAAAGGCATGACCTGCATTTATTTGATGCTCAGGCGCTTTCTTTGCATGGTATTTCAAAATGCAAGCGTAGATGTACTACTTTCGCAGCTCACAGATACGTGAGGAGAGCGCTACCCGCTCGCGACTGCACCGCGTCTCCGCCTACTAGGCCCGGCACAGCCCATCTATCATTTTAAGCTACCTGGTAGTGTAGATGTTGCACTACTTCCTCCATTTCGAATAGTGAGAGCAAAGTGATAAGGAGAAAGAACTGGCAACCAGCGAGAACTCGTCCGGCCACGCTCTTTCTTGCCTTATGCACATACAAGCGCGGTTCAGCACAGCATTCTATATGAAGCACTTCGGGCGGGTTTGTAGTGTTTTTACTTAACTTTTGTGATATTTACCATCTTGTCGATAGTATATGAGCCGCACGAATAACCATTTTTGAATGCGTTAAAAGCTCGATCAGAAACTTTATCCAAGTACCCATAAAGTCCCCTTGTAGGGTATCAGCACTGGGAAGTCCGGGCATCTCGAGTTCAACACCAGCAATACGGACGGAATCCTTTCGCGCTAAGTACATGGCGAGGTTCGCGTATATTAAGTGTGATTGAGCGCAGTTCGGCTTAGAGGGGGCACTGAACCTGTAACTGGTACCCGGTGAGTACAAGCCACCATGTCAGGATCTGTGAATTCCCGTCACCAAAAGGCCTCACTTCAACAATTCTGCACTCCACAGCAGTATACAGTCAGCCAAAATGGGTCTTGTTAACTCATTAGTCAACACAAATAGCGAGCAAAAGTGCGAAAGGCTCATTCCAGGAACAGCGCCAGTAATTTTAGTATCGACAGAAAATCTGATTGGGTACGATTTAGGAGAGGAAGATGTGAGAGAAGGCTGACGTGATTCTTCGCAGAATCAATCAAACAGCCCATTTATCATTCTGGGTGCAGAGTGTGTCAGCACAACAAGTCGCACTAGATTAGAGGCTTCCCAATACTTTCACAAATTGGCCGAGAGCAGCAGCACGTCAAATGTGCTAGCTTGCAACCTGTCACGAAGCGGCTGCACGAATATTGCTTCCCTCATTTGCTAACATGGAGCTTATTTAGGCGAATGTGGAACGTAATAGTATTAGGCTGATGGAAAAGTCCTGCGACACTTTGAGCAAGCTTTTATAGGGGTATCTTGATCCCTTCGGAACCTTCCGGTATCTGGTTGCTGTAAAGTGATCGTGCGTATACCAAAAGTCGGATTTACGAGGAGTTAAGGATTAGCGGGGTCAAATCGAGGGTTACTGTATGGTGTTCTGCTCCAGGGAGTGGCGCAAGATTTCAAGGTGGTAGGTTGCGGGCAGGGTACAGCATCGTTGTGGCGGTCCCGTCGAGGTCGCGTTTGGTTCATGGGGATAGTGGGTCGTTACTGGGCTCGACAGAAATTTTTCTAAGCCGCGAGAAAACTCTTCTGGTTGTTGGATTTTTTTTGTTTTTTATGCAGCCCTTGTTAAAAGCGTCGCGAGATTACTATAAGGGTAGATAAAGTTTTCGCCGTTGATCATTCCCAGGTGATGTGGCCTATTGAATTGCGGGGGGGGGGGGTCCCAGCCGATGTGCAAGTCAGTGTTTTATCCTCCCAAACAAATCTGATACCAATCTACCAGATTTGTCTTGGAGGATAAAACACTGACTTGCATCTCAATCTAGCTGCTCGAGGGTAGAAAGCTTGCTTGACCTGGGCGAGTGCCGATCCAGGGTTGAAGAGTGAGGACCCCCTTTCAACTCAACACCAACTTTTTTTTGAGAAATAATTTCGAATATTTCTGGAAGATTGGTAGGAGGTTGGAGGGAATGGGCAAGATAGCAGGTAAGATGAGTAAGGGGAATGTACCAGAGGAGAAAATTCAGACGGGGAGGCGGTTTGTATACAGCTATTCCACCCATCCTGATACTGTATTCTGACTCCAGAAGGCGGCTATTCACTCACTAATTTCTCGGTACTTTCCGTATTGAAAAGAGAAGTTCAGTGCAGTTCCCGCCTCAATTTCTCTGAAAAGACACTATCATCCCCTCCACCGCCCTCTCCCCCACCCCTTCTGCCTCTTTGCGCTCTGCCAAAGTGGGTCTCTTAAAATAATTATCGTGCGGTATTCCTTGTTTGTGACAAAGGAATTCTGAAAGCTGCGTCTGGATGATGGCTTTCTTTTACTTCCTTTCTTTTTTTACTCAGAATTGCCCACTAGGGTGAGGACCAGTAAAACCCCCTGGTCTCACTACGGCAACCATAGTTAGAAAATTTCGCGACGGTTGTTACTTTTTATGGGCGTTGAACCTGAACCAGTATGTCATGCATCCGATTCCACGCGTTCACGGAACTGGTTTCGGAGAAGCTATACAAACTGCTATGTCTTGACTTACCTTCCAGCTTTGAGCTCCGACTACCTGTCATTGTTTTCCCCCTAGTCTAGACTGCCGTATAAGTCAGTGACGGACCCTAATGGTGTGGATCGCTGAGTTTACGTAACAGCAACTCGCACAGACTAACACAGTATGTCCAAACTAGTTGAATTCACACACTGTATACTGCATTATTATCTTGAATTCGTTGCTCTTTGGACAAACAACGCCTATCCCATTTCAAATATGCTCCCCCTTCGAGTATTCTTCATCTCAATCCTTTTGCATGATTTCAAGGCTCTATGGGAAGCACAATGGGTAATCCGCTCCCATAAGAGGCACCAGGCACCCTATATCCATCTCAAGTGAGATTTCTTCATTCAGACCGGGAACCAATTTTTCGTCGCTGCTCTTTCGGTTTTTGAAGTGTTCCAGAATTGTGCTATCACACATTCTGACCCCCAGCTTTTTCAATTTCTGGTAATGAAAATCGGTAGAGAGGTTGTTCCCTAATGTGGGCGGGTTTTATACCATTTTCACTTCAAATTAACCACTTCTCAAACCAATTCACCACTGTTGCGAGCTTCGAAATTTCATAAATTTTTCAACTTTTTAATTTCACATCCACTCTTGCACAACGGAGATACTCGTAACCGCGCATTCATGCTCCGGCAATTCAGGCTCCGCCCCCTTGGCCACGCCCACTTGCTTTTTGCGGAATTTTGATATTTTTTCAAAATTTTTGCATTTTTGGACTGCTCCGTGAAGCCCCGCCCACTGTGAGAGGCTCCGCCCACTTTGAAGAAGCCCCGCCCACTTTTCAAAAATGGTGCAATCGGCAGTATAGAGTCTTGGCTTGCATGCTAGGGTCTCGTCCGTCACTCGGAACAAATAAATCAGGCAAAGTTTGTTCCGAGTGACGGACGAGACCCTAGCATGCAAGCCAAGACTATATTGCCGATATGCACCATTTCTGAAAAAAGGCGAGGCTTCTTCAAAGTGGGCGGAGCGTCTCACAGTGGGCGGGGCTTTATGGAGCATTCCAGAAAGGCAAAAGTTTTGAGAAAATATGGAAATTCCGTAAAAAGCAAGTGGGCGTAGCTAAGGGGCGGAGCCCTAATTGCCAGTGCGTAAATGCGCGGGTACGAGTATCTTCGTTGTGCAAAGAGTGGATGTGAAATTAAAAGTTGAAAAAGTTATGAAATTTCGAAGTTCGCAACAAACTTTTAAAGAATGGGCGGAGGCGCATGTGTAGGTAGGTGTGACCGTCGGGTGGGGCTCGCAGTGGTGTCTGGCGTGATCTGGTTGGTGAACTGCCCGGTCTAAAAAGAGTGGTGAATTTGGTTTGAAAAGTGGTGAATTTGGTTTAGAAAAAATGTGAATTTGAAGTGAAAATGGTATATATCTGGAAAGTGAATTGTCTCTGCGGACAATGTTATGATCAGTCATTCCCCGGTCTCTAGTCTATCACAAAGGCACTTCTCCGCCTCGAAAATAGTAAGTTGTGCAGCTGAAACAGTAATGAAGATTGTAAATGAAACCTGCTCGGAGGGCCCCACATATGTAGACCTCCATGTTGAACCGCGCTTGTACGTGCATAAGGTGAAAGAGAGGCGTGGTCGGACGAATTCTCACTGTTGGTGTCAGCTCTTTCTCCTTTTCACCTCTAGAACCATAAATGAAGAGAGCTAATAGCGGAACAACCGCACTACCAGGGAACATCCAGAAATGAAAGTTGGGCGTTGTCGTGGCCCCTTCGTCACGTATTTTTGAGCACACAGCTCATTTTTGAGCTTTTCGAGCTGAGCAGTAGTACTTCCTCTATGCTTACTGGTCAAGTGTGTTCTGCCCTCTGGGAATTAGTCTCCTTCTCTTCATTGCTCGCTTTTATCTGTCGTGTGGCGTTGTCTATGCCAAGTTTGCCATTCTAGAACCAAATTATGAATTCTTTACTAGAGCGTTACTCATTTCATGTTTGTGCTGACTATGCCACACAACAAGTAATGTTACCTCCTTTCATCAGAGTTTTGAAAAATGTAAAAAAAGCTAAAGAAAAAGCAATTCTTGCGTTTGTGGAACTAGCCTTCGAGTTCACTGAATTATGCTATTGACTTTTTGCAGACTGGCGGGTCCTACGCCTATCGTCAGAGCCTTACTCTGTAAGCCATCCGTTTCTGGAGGAGTCATTGTAATTGGAGGCTGTGAATTGGATGTTCCACAGTCATCTCAAGCATCACTAATTCCTTCAGAGAATTCGGTCAGTTTAGCAGATGATTTTTCAACACCTATAGACGTGACAAAGCTATCGCGAGCGTGGTATAGAACGATCAGTTCTGAAGATCATTTTTAGGACACTTCTCGCGGTTACCTGATAGATAGAATCTCTCCCTTGTAGAGCTAGTAGGGTGCTCTAAGCTGAGTGCTCCCCCTTCCTACCTCGACGGTGAGTAGGGAGGTCACTGTAGTGCTCGCAAGCCGAAGGGATACCACTCGCAGGGGTTGCCTTATGGGGACGAGATACATTTATCTTGATTGGACTGCTACAGCAGCTCCTCGCTTAACATTCTATAATTATTGATGCAGCTAGTTTTCCTTAGGCTTGTCCGCATCCTTCCCGATTTCTGCGTTTTCTTCCGCCCTTCCTGTGCGGAACCCGCTTGCGATTGTTACGTTGTTTGTTTATTTTGAATCTGATTATATTTGTTGTGTAGCGAAACATGAGCGAAAAATTGATATGCGAGCGGTCCTATATCTAAAAGCACAAAGGTGACCAATAGCGTTCCCCGGGTGTGGCGACGTTCTTCTCTCCTTGTTTGTGTTCACTCCTTATTCTCTTAACCATTTAATCAAGTATCACCTTACTGGTTTGCATATTTGGGTCATAAATCCGAAACATAGCAATGTGAGTGCAAGTTTGCACGTCTATGAGTGACTTTGTTATGTGAAGAGTGGATGTGAAATCAAGGAGTTTGAAAATTCGAAAGTTGCAACAAATCTTTGAAAAAGTGGGCGGAGTTGCCCATGTGCCGATGTACAGTCCTCCAGTTAGTGAGTATGGGCGTAATAAAAAAAAGTGCAGAAAAAGTCGCAAACAGAAGTTATGAAACAAAATTCGAAAGACTATTTCCGCGCTGACAAGTAGGCGTGGCCGTCGGGGTGGGGCCCGCAGTGGTGTGTGGCGTGATCTGTTGATGAATTTGATTTGAAATTATGGTCGTTTGGTCTGAAAAGTTGTGCTTTTGAAGTGAAAATGGCAAAAATATCATTACGTTTCCATTGTGCTGTCCCTTTATCGATTTTTTGGTGAAAATCTCTACTGGATTGAACATTTTTCCCATGGGGTAGTGTGGTGAGCAAGATGGTTTCTATATATGTTAATAATGTGCTATTGCGCTTGCCATCTTGGTTTTGTGAATAAGATTAGGTGCAGTTCGACTCGGAGGGGCATCATAAGCTGCTCAACAGGGTAGTCCGCCAAATTACCATGGAATTTTGATGGGACCTGGGTAGATCGATAGAGTCTATAAGGTTATTTACAAATATAGATAGCAAAACTGCAACCTGCATTTCACAAGCAACTTATGAGCAGGTAAAGTTTGTATGGTGCAGTAGGGTGGAGGCTTGGTGGTGAGCTGTGAAGCATAAGCGAGGAATCGCATACGTCGAATCGAGTCGTCGAACGTCGAACCTTACCACTGAACCACCACGACTCGATTCGACGTATGCGATTCCTCGCTTATGCTTCACAGCTCACCACCAAGCCTCCACCCTACTGCACCATTACAAACTTTACCTGCTCATAAGTTGCTTGTGAAATGCAGGTTGCAGTTTTGCTATCTATTTGTAAATAACCTTAGACTCTATCGATCTACCCAGGTCTCCATTCAAAGTTCCATGGTAAGTTGGCGGACTTCCCTGGTCAGTGAAACCTGCGCAGGCCATTTTTTGAAGTCCTGTAAATTCTTCTAACCGAAGAGGCTCACGTTTACCGTCATAACTTCCCATGAGTTCACAAGTCTTACCAAAATGGAGACCTGCAAGTTAATATGAACTAGCTAAAGGGATTAGTGAAAGTGCAAAATGTTCCTTCCAAGCCGAATATTTCATATTGCCCTCTATTACACTCCTTTTCAGGTGACAAAAATCATAGAGAAGCGTGTTCGTGACTACTTCAACAACGATGGTGACATTGAACTGGAAGGGTTTGTGTAGTCTTATTTTCCGTCACTCGATTCTTGTTTTCGTTGTTATGTTTCCTTTTCGTGCTCTACTTTTCTTTTCAGATTCATTCTGCACTACAGTGTCTCGTTAGATGGTCCATGTCCACTGATATACGCTTGCGTAGCCAGTCCTCTGTTTGGCTCAAAGAATGCGCATACATTTCTCAATACAGTCAAGGTATGGACTGTGCTTATCGATTTTTGGGAATCTTCCGCGAAGCGGTTTTTTACCATTCCACTCCCCTCGCTGTACATATATTACACACAATAGAACCTACCATTACATGCCCCGCCCCCAACTTAGCAGTAATTGAAGAAAAAAACTTCTTCTGTCACTTCTGCTAACAAGGGGAATGGTTTGAACTTCCCATGGAACTTTGAATGGAGACCTAGGTACATCGATAGAGCCTCGAATGCTGATTACGAATATGCAGATTAAAG